CTCTTCTTGGCTCATCTTTTTTGGCATCTGACCTTGAAGAGGTTTGTGCAGTTTCTTCTAGTACGTATAGTCCTCTATCCGCATCTTCAAAAAATTGAAATTATTGTCATCGAACTTTATCAATTTGAACTTTCCCATCTTCAACCATCTCTCTCTTCTTAGCAAAATGTGATTATGATACTAGTTGCTAAGAGATAAGAAAGAAAAAGAGAAAAAAGATAGAGAGAGGAATATAAATACAAAATCTCACACATAGAAAGAGACATGGTTTAGCGTTTTACCTGTGTCCATATCCACACTAAAATTTCATTTTATTTCTCTCTTATAAGTAGCTTAGGAGAAAATTTAAGCTAGTTAGGATGTTTCATCCATTGATTTCCTCCCCTTTACTACACTAAGATGGACAAGGTATGCTCGGAGGATAAATAATTTCGATTGACCATCTAGCTATCAAATTTGAATTTCAAGAGTCAGAGCATTAAAACTTGGTAGCTGTCAAATTCCGACAAAAAATAAAGGGCGAATTTACATACATAGCACCCAAATTTTATACATTTTTTTCTATCTCACACTCGAACCTTTATTTTTTACATCTAAAGCACCCTATTTTATGTAACTAGTGTAATCCAGGCATATCTTCATCTTAATGAGAGGATCCCCAATGGGTTGACGTTGATTTGAATTGTCTGCTGGCAAGCCATGGAAAGATGTACCAGCAGAAGAGATTCTGCTTCTTGTCCTTCGAAAATCTATCTTATCCCATTGCATTCAAAAGTTATTTATCCAATACAAGAAGGGAAGTGGGTGGGCATTTACATGCATACCACATAATTGTTATATATTTACATATCTAACACCTAAACCTCCATATTTACATTCTCAACAGGCACATCTTTTTCATGACATCAAAATAACCATTTGTTGCATAGATTTCTAATATGAAAACGTTATAATTGTAAATGTCAAAATTTAGGTTTTAAATGTGTAAATTCTTAGGAAACTCTTGTCAAACTCATGTCAGCCTTTCTTGGATTGGGTGGGAAGACCTATTTGTGCAACAACTCCAATGTTGATCTTCTAGATTCGTTAAGATTTCAATTCTTTATAAATATTTGGATGTTGGTGCCACCCATCCTATCCTATGGAGAATCATTGTTTAGGGGCAGCGGTTTAACATCATCTATTGGTTTAACAAATGCAAATTTTAATTTGTTGTTTTTCCCTCAATTTCATATGAAGCAGCGGTGTGATAGCGATGCAGTGCCGTAATTTTGCTCGTTTGAATAAACAATATTTTGGGAGCTTTTTAAAAAAATTGCCGCTAAAATTAACATTTTCTAATCAATCATGGTTAGATGTGGTGGCAGCTTTCCAGCTGCGGTCTGACTTTTTTATAAAAAAAATTATAATAACCTTCGTAACTTTTTGCAAGATCAGATTATTCTTCACTAGCTTAACAACTGCTTC